ATGAATCAATGCAAGGGCTCAAAAAACTGATACATGTGTTAATAGGTTACCTTTCCAAATTTACATCTTAAAGAGAGATCTTAACTTTTTGTATTCCCAGATGGATCACTAACAATGAGGAGTTCACACCCCAAGGCAGGATGAAAAGGGCTTCTCTAATCTTATCAAAAAGACACATCTTCTGTCCAGACAGCAACTCTGATGTGGTCAAAGAATCTTTAAACCAGAGACTTTCTGACCGGTGTTCTCTTACATGCATTCTCAAAGAGTGATAAAGAGCACCGTGAATGATGTGGGATAAGCTCTGTTGTCAATGATGGAACAAAGAATTTGGGAACCAATGCTCTTTGAAGAGTTTGTTTAATTACTTATGAATTGACATTGACATCCATAACACTAAACTAAAAAACAAGTCTCTGTTGCACAACTAAATGTCAGAGGACAGTTTGACAAACATTTCCTTACTTTTGAAAGTAGGTTTAGATTCACTGTTTGATTTTATTTTTACATAGAAAATTTAAAAATACATGATAAATTGGTAAAGTAGCTGCATTTCTTACGTTTTCAAGAAAGAACTTATTACTCTTAGATTTGAAGTTTTCTACATAGAGCACAGAACAAAAAGTGGCTTTTGAAAATTGGTATTTTGGTTTTGTGTCATGAGAAATTTGGTGATTATATGAACCTACCAGTTTTAACTCTTTAGTGACAGTTCTATATTTGGAATTGCAATAGTTAAAAGACATTTAGTACTAGATATACCTTTATTTCCAGAGCCACTGGTCAGTATTGGACAATCTAATCTTTCTAAAATGTTATTATAAGGCAAACATTGCATCAATGTCATCTCTACCTTTGCTAATGACAATAAAATAATGGTATAAGGTCCAAGAATATTTTCTCCCTGGTTTTAGGCTTTAACTTTTATCTATAATATAATGTGGAGAGCTAGTATTCTGAGTCATTTTCACAACTGACTCCAGAGAAAGTTGAAATATTTTCAGGACCCCTATTCTTTATTCTTATGTGTAAAAAAAAAGAAAAAAGAATTTAGTATTTCTATCTACTGGAGGAAAGCTCAAGAAAAACATAGAATGTTTATAAAAATTCTGAAAACATAATATGTTCTAGGTAATTAACAGTTTAGATATATTATGAACTGACTTCTCTGCTGTTCTACCTGGCAAATGGCAGAACCAGAGGTCTGTGAATACAAACAACATATTATGAAAGATCATTATAAAGCAGTACCAGAAAAGTCACTGACTGCTCATCACATCTACAACTTTTTCTAAGAAAAATCTGCACTGCACAAGAGCTACAGAATCGTGGCAGCCCCCATCACTGAGATTTGAACCACAATTAGCCAACTGAATAAAGGTAACTCGTTCATTGGTTGGCCCATGATCTTGGACTTTGGACTTCTAAAAAGATGTATGGGGCCAGCTATATTCCTTCTTATTTATTTGACTGGGAAAATTCTAAGAGAAGATGCCATTACCTATGAGAACAGATGCTGAAGAGTTATTAACAAGAAACATCACTGTAACTCATGCTAAACTCATACAAGTTAATGAAGGCGCAGAAACATGAGAAAGTATGTATGACAGTGTTTGGGGCAAACATATTTCATTCTCTAGTCAACAGCCATTTTCCCTTCTTTTCTGCAGATATAACCTTTGATTTTATTTGTATAGTAAGTAACCAGTTAGGAAGATTGAAGCATGACTGGCCTAAGGACAGTGGTATGCACGTATCTGTTTATAGCAGCTTACAAAAGCCATTTTTATGCATTTCTTTCCAATTCAGAGTGCAGTGACATCACATTACTAGCTTTGATACCTGCCCACATGGTAGTATTTATGCCCCAGAAATCAGCGAGTGCTATAAATTAGGATTACTACTCTCGCTAACCCCAGTGGGTTGTTAACTATTTGTCATCACTGTAAGTTCATCATGGAAATCACATTTACTTTTGCCAGTAATTGGTCCAGGAGAAGGTAGAGAACCAACCAAATTCTGACTTATGGCACTATAAGAATGTCTTATGGAAGGCATCTTGAAAAGATTTTCTTCTTGATAAGTTCAAGTTAACAGCTCGCTTTGCTTTCCTGCTTTATGTGGTACTTGTAATGCTTTGAGATACAACTGTGAGGGAAGTTCAGTAGAAACCAGAGATGCCCACATAGGTCATTAGTAACCTTAAACCACTACCAATGACAGCATCCTAAGGACAAGAAAGGAGGAGTACTCCACCTCCAGTATAGAAAATAATGGAATGTACGTAGAGAATATAAAAACTCTAATCAAACACATTAAATATTAATCTACTTTTTATTACTACCCTGTATAAACAATTCTAAATAATGTTAGTGATATAACACTCCTCCCCACAAACTTGTGTTATTCTTATCCAAGTCTTCTACTGTGCTAGGGTTTGTAAGTCTATAATCGACTATCTTAAATATCTAGTTACCTGAACTAATTGAAGGTTTTTATTCTTCAAGCAACTTTCATATGAGTTTTCTGTTATATGTAGGCAAAATACTCTGAATCACTGAAATTGTTTACAAAAAGTAGCAGACTCAGAAGGTTGCTAGGTCAGGTTAACCCAGCCCTGAAAAAGAAAGACCATGGGTTTCTGCTCTCCGGCCCCAAGGAGTTGCTCAGATCCCAGACTCTCACAGCTCTAACTACACAAGACCTGGCCACGTATGGCTCCTGTTCCTGCATGTCCCTAGAGAGCGTCTCCCTAATGTGCCAGAAGTATAACAATAAAAGTGTGTTTACATCAAATAGCACAAGCAGGTTTCTTTGTCTTGTAATCAAAAGAACCAATTAAAAACAGAACCTAGCATTGAACAAGTATATTATAAAAGACTGCCCTAATATGAGAAGTTGGATAGATTCATTTTGCAAAATCTGTACCAAGAATAGCAAACAGATAAAAATATGCTTAATACAGAATTGCTTATGAAATTAAAATTATAATTTATCTAAATGCTAAGAAGAGGAGAATCAATTATTTATTTTTGAAGTTATATAATGATGTGGGAAAATTCAGCCTACTATTATTTATTAAAAAGCAAATTATTTATATATATATATATATTATTTGTCTTTTCACATGTAATACTTGGTTGTATTTATATATGTGTGTATATATAAAATTTATATATATAAAATATATGTATGTGTGTGTGTATATATATATATATATGTCATGACAGTAGGTCTATCCAGAAGAAGTCCCAGTCATTGTTAATATAATGAGAATGATTTGAGTGACATCAGTGTAACCTGGCAGCCAAGGAGACTGGACTGGAATGCACAGGTGTGAACAACGACCGCTTCACTGCACTAGTCAGTGGGGGCAGTAGGAACCGTTGAGTGAGCATGGATACCGTGTGGCTGTGACATTCAAAATGGCTGAGTAAGCAGAGTAATGAATCTGTGCCAACTTTTATCTTAAGCTTGAACATTTGTCCTTGGAAACTGTTTGGATGACTCAGAAGGCTGGAGCTGTGGGCAACTGGTGACTGGAGCTTCATCATCACAACGTGCCCCCTCAAGTATCACAGCTCATACAGAGTTGTCTGGTGAAACATCAAATCACCCAGGTGACTCAGCCCCACTACAGCCCAGATTTGGCACCCTGTGACTTCTAGCTTTCCCCAAAACTAAAGTCACCTTTGAAATGGAAGTGATTTTAGATCGTTGATGAGATTCAGGAAAATATGACAGGGCAGCTGATGGCAATTTGGGAGAACTGTGTGAGGTCCCATGGTACCTACTTTGAAGAGGACTGAGGTATCATTATTCTATGTACAATGTCTCTTTTTTCTTCTATCTTTTTCAATAAATGTCTTTGTTTTTTCATATTACCTGGCTGGTTTCCTTCTGGACAGACTATACACACAGACACACACACACATATGTGTGTTGGTTGGAAATAAATCTAATATCAGTTGTTATTTCTGAATAGTGTGATGAAGGGATATTAAAATTTTCTCCCAAACATTTGCTATTATTTTCAAAGTTTTTCACTCTATAGAAATAAACCATCTTTTAAATAATTAGCACACATTTTCTTTTCATTGGTGAGTTATAAAAACACTCTAGGATTCTCGCACTATTGTTCAAGATAAGAATATACACACATACGAAAGTAATGAATTCAACAAGTTAGACAAAATAAATCAGAAAACTAAAAAATAAAAAGAGGTTAAAAATTCATGACAATTTGCTTTATGGAAAAGCATATTATCATATTCTAAGAAAATTTCTCTCTTTCAAAAATATGTAATTTATTTTAAGGATAAGTTTAATTTTCATGAGAATAAAACGATTTAAAAACATTTAGTTCTTTGTTTTTACAGCAGTATAATCAAAACCTGAATTATGCTTTCAAACACAGGACTTTATGAGAGTAATCTCACAGTCCCGTGGGGGGAATCGTCTGTGATGAGAATCACTGGGTTCGGCATGGAATCCCCAGCCTCTCTGTTACTGATGTACTCAGATGTCTAGACTTACTTACTTGATTCTTTAGATCACCACTATTCAAATACAGGTACTAGTAGTTGCAATACACATTGTATATCAAATCAATAACAAGTTTCCCATTAAAAACTGCATTTTTTTTTCTGAGTGGATAAAAATGTGGTTGGAAAAGAAATGCAGGGAAATCAAGAGAAACCAGTAGTTTAAAGAAGGGAAACTGATGATTTATTGGAAAAGCCAGAATAGGCCTGTGATTTCTAGCTTCATTTTAAATTATGTTTTGCTCAAGAACAGAAGCTTCTTTTGGAGAGACAATGTCATTGCCGAGTCGTAAGGACTACCAGGCATGAGGCTCATTACCCAAGGAGAAATCAGATGTAACAGCGCTTGGCAATACAAAGTCTCATTATGTTGCATGAAATTAATTATATTTAGTGCTATTCTCTTTCATAAAAATGACTAGATCAAATGTATAAATTAAAAGATCAGAACCATACCCGACACAGCAAGGAAGTCATCGATGCTTGTGATGTCATCTACAGCTTCCGTGAGGACATGGATATGATTCTCCCAAGCGCGCTTGTACATTTCCATGGTTTTTTTGACCACTTGACTTTTGGGTCTTGCAGCCAAAGCTAGTGCAGCATTAATAATCTGGAAGATGTAGAATATTACATGTTGATTTCTTTGGGAAATAGTTACCAACATGCAGATAACAGTTATTCTTTTTTTTTAAAATAGATACATTCATCTTTAACAACAAGAAAAATGGTAAAATGTCCTTATGTGTAACTACCTTTTTGCTTTTGGTGACACTTCAATTTTTTTTGAAAACACTTTAATTAATTAAGTGTTAATGCATTGAGAACTGAAAGAGGTACAAAGATAATTGGTGTCTGCCTTACAGGAGTTTGTATGTCCCACAGTGGGAAGGTCAACCTGTAACTCAGTTCAATATGCCGCACATGCCAGGAATACAGATCATGGTTCTGTAAGCTTCAGAGAATAGAGATAAACTTCAGTAGAAGGAGTAAGAGGTCTGGCTTCCTGGAGGACTTGTTGAATTTTCCAGTAGAAATACATTATTTATTCATTTATTCATTCAACATTTCAAATATATGTTGAGATATTTTGAGTGTCTTTTTGTTTCCAGCATGTTTCAGGTTTCAAAGGTGTGATAATGAACAAGACACAGGCCAAAAGCTTTGCCTTAATGACACTTATCCTATAGCTGGGGAGGACTATTAATTATCAAGTTAAATAAATAAAACAGGTGGTCTGTTAGACTGCTGTAAGAACTAAGGAGAAAAAAAGCAGTGCAGAGAAGGGGATAAGGAGCGGAGTGGTGGTGGGGGTAAGAAGTTTTCAGTTTTAGCATAAGTAAAGTGGAAATTTAAGTAAAATTACTTGTAAGAATGAAAATTGGGTAACAGAGACGTTGTAACATTCAAAAGGTTGGCCCCCTCAGGGCCGCAGAAGTCTGTGATTGTCCGACTCAGGACTAGCGTTATTTGGAAGGCACTGAGAGTCATTTTGACTTTTGAGCAATTTATTCAGAACTGCACTCTAGAAAAATTAATTTGGCAAAGAAGGCTACTGCAATAGGTTGCAGAAGTGGGAAGAGCCTGAACTACTGTGGTGGAGGCAAGGAAAGGCTTTGGTGGAACTTACTCTTAACTAAAGGAGGATGAGAGCAGGTTAATCATTGCCAAAAAGATCATGCAGGTGTCAACAAATTTGTGGAAAACCACATTTAAGGACATGGAAATACATCCACAACAGCGTAATAACTGTAGATCACAAAACATTATCCTTTAGAGGATGCCATTTCTAGCAAAACTATGCTGGAAATAAAAGGTAGATGAATACATGCAATCATGAACGACGGTGCTCTAGAAGTGGGGGAGCTTCTGGTGCTTTTAATTTTATTTTGTGTAACTAAATTTTTCAGATTTTCTACACTGAATATGTTTTACTTGTTTAATCGGATTGAATGAAGTTATTCTTTAAGGAAATGATTACAGAGGCTTTTCCATGATTGATGGAGAGAATTGTTAGGGTGTCAATAGAATAGGAGAGGTGGGGGAGTTAAAAGTCAGTGTAGAGGCAGACGGTGTGTGCGATTGTTTTGGGGGACAGTGTTGATGAGGGGTATTAGATGTCAACTTTCCCATCACAGATGTTGACTTTGAAGTGATTCTTGGATCTCCATACTAATTACACTGTGAGCAATTGGACAATTGGAATTGTAACTCACAAAAAAAGTTGTCTTTCATTTGTTTATGCACTGAAAGAAATTGTTACTATGCAGCAACAAGGCATCAGATACCGCACTGGATACTAATGACATCACAATGAAAATGGTCCCACTAGTTTCTAAACAGCCATTAATCTAGTAGAAGAATCAGGGGGAAACCAGGGAATTGCAACACACCAGTGGTTCTCAGAAAGTTAGCCTGAATCCAGAGCACCTGGAGAGCCTGTGAAAACACAGATTTCTGAGCCACACCTTAGAGTTTCTAATTCAGTCCATGCACCCTGGGGCTTAAGAATTTGCATTTCTAACAATTTCCCAGGTGATCGTGATGCGACTGGCAGTGCTCTCACTCTGAGAACCACTACAGTCTATAGTAAATGTTGAAAGGACTCCTGTAACAAGAAGCTCAAGATGCCCTATATAACACATGGCAGAGGTACTCAGATCTATAAGGAAAGATGCTCCAAGGTCCTGAAATTTAAAAAAATAATAAGTAGAGCCCTAATCAGTGTGGTTTAGTTGGTTGAGTGTCATCTCTCAATGAGAAAGGTTGCTGGTTTGATTCCCCAAGTGGTCAGGGAACATACCTGGGTTGCAGGTGGTCCCCATTGGGGCATGTGCAAGAGGCAACCAATTGATGTTTCTCCCTCACACACTGATGTTTATTTCTCACTCTTTCTCCTTCCCTATCCCTCTCTCTAAAAATACATAAATAGAGTCTTTAAAAAAATAAGTAGAAGTTAATATAATATGATATCCTTCTGGGAAGAAGCAATAACACATGCAATGACCTAGAAGTGAGATAGAGTCTAACCTCACCTCCTGCAGAATGTGGAGCAGAGAGACCGTAGTGATAGAGGTGGAAGGAAATCAAAGGAACGATGGAAAGATGGAGGGGAAAAAAAGCTCTGGAAAGTACCCACTCAGTGGAGGTGATAAAGATGAGAAAAGGAATCATCAGGAAGGAAGTAGAAAACTAAAATATTAAAGAATCAATATGAGAAGGATTTTCCCCTAAAGATCAAATGCAATAGAGTCAAGAATAATGAGAATTAAAAAGGACTTTTGAATTTGAAAAGCAGCTGTCATTAGTGAGGAGAATGGTGGACACAGCATTCAGATTTCACCAACATAAAACAGAAACAATAAAAAGAATCTTTTTCTACTAAGTAACCTAAAGGCTGTACTTTACTTAAATGACTTCCAACAAATTACTGGAGATGGAGGAGGGGAAAATATGTGGCTTGAAAATATTACGTTGATATTCTCTTCTTTATTTCTTTTTTACAAGAGAGGAACACATTAAATTCTAAGAAAACACACTACTTTGAGGAATAGCTGCTGTATGGCACTCCTTGACTTCAGTTTTAGTTTTATTAACCTATTAACTTACAGTGTAAGCTTGTGTGTGCCACCAGGCTCTGGTCTCTGCTGTTTCATTGTCCCTGCAGTTGAACAACCGGATACACATGTGGTTGTGGGGAATTCAGAGGCACCTTTTAAAGTACTGCTGGTGCAGAACCCTCAGGGGGACACGGAGCCATGAATACAGGACAGACTCTATTTTTTAAGAAGTTTTCAGTTCTGCAGCAGATCCAATTTATCTGATTTGACACTCTGCACTGTGAAAATACTCTATCCTACTTGACTCTCCTGGTATTTAGCTTAAATCTAAAAGCAGACAAAATTCAGAAGATAACCCTAATCCTGTTTAAGAGAAAAAAAAGTCTGCATCCCAATGATGAAGGCTACCACACTCTTAGCAATTTTTTTCTGTCTATCTGGGGTCAGGACAGAAGACCCTTCTCAAATCCTCTTCATGCTGACTAAACATGACTGAAGTAAATGATGTTGCTTTCTGAGGCATTTTTCTTTAGATTATGATTGAGATGTGTCCATGACCCTGTGAATCAAGTAGTCATTCATTTCACTTTTGAAGCAGTCTCTTTAAATTCAGGATCTTATTATATTTTAACAGGACTATTTGTTGAATAGCCTTTCAAATAAATAGTTTCCTATTTCCAGTCCTTACCAAAAAGAAAAAAAAATTGAGTGCAATTTTGTTAAGCAAGTGAGAAGGGAAACGGAGCTGAGCAAGGTTATAGTTGTGGAACATGGAACCTGTTCCATGTCCCTGTGGAACATGTTCCTGTCCCTGCGGAACAGGGACCTGCTGAGCCCTCTTCTCAGTCCCTTCCTCTCTGTGTCTGGGTTCTACCAACCCAACTACATCCCTGCCCATGCTCACTGATAAAGGCTGTGTGGAGGCTGCTTCTCTTTCTGACTGACCTGCATTTCCCTTTCCTCTCAGAGGCCTATTCAAACTAGCTCCTATCCGACTTTGCTGATGTTATTGGTAACCCCTGGAAAAAGCTGAATTTTACCAGGTCTCATTCTACCTTCCTGCTCTTTCTATTAGGACACGTGACCCAGGCTTCAGCATGCCCGAGTCTAAGCTCCCTCCCATTTAAAAAATTATTTTTCAGTTACAATTTACTTTGAATATTATTTTGTATTATTTGTATTTTTATATCAAGTCAAGTCATTTTTACTATATCATACTCTCACATGCTGTGGGAAACTCTCAAACATCTAAACTAGATTCTGCAAATTTAGGATTTTTAAATTATCTCAGTTTTCCTTGTCTCCCTCCAGGAATCGGACTTTTGTATTTTAGGGCTTCTCGTTCGTATATCTTAGGTTTCATCTAAAGTATGAGAGAGGCCCTAGAAATGTGTTCATGGGGTCATTTTTTCTAGTACGTTTGCCTCAAATATTTTGGGATCCAGTAAAGGAAGCTGAGTTGGATGTACATTTAGTTGAGTTCAGTAGGCTAATTTTGAAAGATCTGCAGTTACTGTTACAGAACACAGCACACACACAGGGCCAGGAGGGGGTCACCACATACCATTACCAAAAGGACCCCCTGCTAGGTTCATTATGTCCGCCACCAGAGGAAAGACATCTCTCGATGCCAGAGATTTGTGAAAAGGAAATGTTTATTTAATGCTATACAGACTCAAAGTAGTGACCTAATGTCTTCATTAAAATATCAAAGTCCTTTTGGATACCCACAGGCACCCACAGTACTTCCTTCCCCCCTGCCCTAATTTGGGGTATTGTATCTCAGGAAAAGAAGTAGGTGTCCATGTTACAGGCCACTGGCACCTTCAGCTGTGTCGCCATCCAGGCAGGATCTCTAATTAATCCAAAGTCATGTGGCACCTTCTCACAGTCCACTGGCAAGAGTTCTTTGTACCCATTTTTCCAGGCAAAGTCTCTCCTGCTTCCCAGACCACGCAGCCAAAGGGAGCACCCCAAAGCTGTGTGGGCCTCTTCTACCAAAGCTGCAGAGGTCTGCACTCTGCCAAAATCACATGATTCTTCTCTCCACCAA